AAAAAAAAAAAAAAAAAAAAAAAAGAAGAAGTTATACAAACTATAGCAAACGAAAACAGGAGACATTTCAAGGATTTATAGTCAAAAACTTAGAAAGGGGCAAATATTCCCATTATGACCTTTATAACCCTGGATGGAAAGCTACAGGTCAATATTTTGCACCTACAGCCTTTTACCAGCACTACATACACAACTTAAGTAATTCAACTGCACAGGAAAACAATAATTATACAAATCCCATTTGAAGATGTATACCACTACATGATTCCCCTTTACTACATAATGTGGCAGTTTTAATCACTGAGTAGAAGTGAGTTGTTTTCCCTGATAACTTTAAAGTATGTCAATTACTAGACATGACCTAATTGAGGAAGATGAAAATTATTAGTTGAGAATCCTTAAGAGAAATTACTGGAGTTTACAAAAGCAGGATCCAAGCTATTTGAGGCTGTGGTTCTAAGACAGTTAGATTCAAATCTGGAAGAAGGCTGAAAATTATCCAGAGAAGGCAGAACATGTCACTTGGAAAAAAGTAAGGCCATACTTCCCTTATACCAGGAATCAAGTTCTGCCTGGTTGGTTAGTTGCCCCAAAAGCAGCTCCCAACTCCACATGGAGTCAAGTGCTATAAAGAATGAGTCCAGATCTTTCTTGTGATGACATACCAGACCACTGGCCAACATGAGATGTTCTCACTGGTCTTTTCATTCTACTGATTTCAGTTACTGTGTTCATATATGCTAGGGCATCAATTTTTCTTTTTCTTGTCAGAAAGGAGCAAACGTGATACAAGCTCATAAAAGTGGAATATATTGAACAGGTGTTCCTTAACCTCTCAGCCCAATCCTAAAAGCTGCTAAGCAGCCTTTAAAAGCTCCAAGTGCTTCAGTGCTTCTAAGGAAGAAAATACACACAAGTAACTTTAACTGACAAATTGCAGAGAGCAACCATAATATGTGGACGGCTAATATAACAGTTCATTCCAACATCATCATGTTCATATAGAATCACAGAGGATGAATATCCTATGTGTTTTGTTTACATACAGAAAAAAATGTATATAACTGATCAAACACAAAACCTATGCTCTTGAGAAAGCTACAAGAAGAATGTAATAAGAATAAAATACTCCTACAGGTACAAATTACAAAACTTACTTTGCACAACATTGCACAGCCACCTGATGAGACCAACTTTGCTCCATCACACATGATTGTGTGAATAACAGAAGACAGTACTTATTATTTGGTAGTATAGAGTGATATTCTGTGTTCATTAAATATCTTATCTCATTTAATATTTGCAACACTAATAGGCAGGTATTGATAAGGAAATAGACTCAGAGACATAAAATAACCTGACCAAGGCCATACAAGTAGTCTTAAAGATCATTCTGCCTCTAAGTTCTTAATTACACACTATGCATAATGAAACCTCAAATACATGTTTAAGGAGAACATACAGCTTAAAACGTTTAAATTGAAAAGAAAATGTGTTCACTGCATTGACGTTTAAAAAAAAAAAAGAAAAAATCCTACACACACTCTAACAAGTTTCAGTACTCTTGCCAGAAAAAAAAAAAAGCAAATCGATTCCAACTAGTCTATACTTTCATTTATATTTAGAATATGAGCTGGGCATGAGTATATAATGAATATATATGTGTGTCTCTCTGTGTGTATAACACCCACATTATTCAAAAGCTCCCAAAAATGTAGAAAGTTTGTTCCAATCCTTCTCTATTTTGTCTACTTTAAGAATTCTTTGCAATATGCTTATGTAAATACTGATTTTAGCTGCTGTTCTCATTTCTCAGATCTTCTGCTTCTAAACGGATTGGAAAAGTGACAGACCTAAGCAGACATCTTTGGAACACAAAACCAAGGAGATATAAACAAATACAACCAGATCAAAAACAAAGGCTTCTCCTTTAAACCCTTTAATGTATCACTACAGATAAAAGAACTGAAAGTAAAATATACCGGTTTTGGCTAAGGGTGTGTATGTGTGTGTGTGTGCATGCACACACACCTGCACATGTATATACTCAGGTGTCTATTTTATTAACACACACAATGAATAGCATCTTACCTCTGTTGACAAAAGCTCTAGAGGAGTATAAAATAAAAACAAAGGAAGACTGTGAAGTTGGGGCATGGGAAAGTGTTCAAGAAAACGGTTCTAGATTGTTAAAAGTGCCTTCAGCTTTCTTATACCAGATTTCATGTTATGGTTCAGTTGTGCTAATAGCTCATGGACTCTGCCGGTGATTTCCCTCCATCCACATTTCAAAGACGTGCTGAAGAGGATTAAGGATAGACTTGAAAAATTACCATTTCACTTACCTGAAGCTGAGCCTTCTTTATAGACATAAGTAAAAAGCTATTATGACAGCACAAATCACAAAGCACAGTGTAAATAATATGTTGGCAAAGAACTAATGTAAGTTGTGCACATACGATTTCCACTTAAAAGCATGAAACTCCCCAGTGTGGAAGTTACTATCTGAAATTATTACATGTGATACTATTGGAATGAAAGTTGAAATAGAAGATACTTTTCATGAGGACTTGGCAACAATATCAATGGATTTTGCACTCTGATACCATAACAATCACATTATTGGAAACACATCCTAGCAGGGCATTTTTGTCATAGTTGAAAGCTGAATATACATCTGGTATATATCTTCTCCATGTAAGCTAGTAAGATGACAGATTTTTATGTAAGCAAAGTAAGTCTACCAGCAATTTCACCAAAATAAGAAAAAACCTTTATACTCATCCAATGTGCTGTAAAAGTCATTTTATTAATAGATTGTAATTAAAGACTCTTTAATCATAAGAATATATTATTAGAGAATAAAAAAAAACCATTCTTGGAACTAGAGAGAAAAATAACTGCAAAAAGCTTAATGAAAATCTCAATGTTTCGAGAAATGACTTTCTTCTTTCAGGGTGATCCTACTGACAATAAAAAAAACACTAGAATGTTCAGTATAGAAGTGATCAAGGCCTAAGGTATAGAATGTTCAGTATAGAAATGACCGAGGACTAAGGTAGTTAGTGGCTTTGGCCTTCTTTCTGCTGAAGAAAGCAAAGGGGGAGGCTTTAGCTTTTGGATGGAGAATAGATATCGCAGTCTCCAGATTTTACTTCCAGCATCTCAACCCACATCCAGCCTGGTGTGAAGAGATGCCAGATGGGGCTACGTCTGTTATTTCGACTGCTGAAGCAGGATACTGAATGTATCCTGCTTGTTTCTGTTAGTATGAATATTCAGCCACAATAAGTAGGAGCAAGGGTAAGTGTGCTAACTGTATTAAGCAGGTCCAAATCATCCTTATACTTTTTCTCCTATTATAGATAAAGACCAAAAAAAAAGTCAACATCTAGAAAATGCCACTTTTGCTAAGCTTGGAAAATACTCATTTATTAATGAAATGATGCTCGTTTCCATACATTTAATGTAAATGTATTGAGAGAAATAAGTGAGCAGAAGAAAACCAGAGTAATTAGCATTGGAGACAAAAGTTAAAAGCAACTAAAGTGAATTAATTATTTTCCACTTTATTTGATTTTCTTGATTTCACTATTTTCTCAGAAAATGCTGAGGCATGACTGTATCAGTATTCATCACTTAGAACACCAATTAGGTTCCTTTAAGTATCACAACAGACTTCTACATTGACATGTTATCCTATTGTACAAATAATGCTTATTTGTCACTCTTTTTTATTTGTATCTTGAAAAGGATCACTAAATCCAGAAAGGAGAATTTCACTATAAATAAATATAATGAAGTGACAACTGCTGTTTGAGAATGAATTTTAGATTCACGATTATTACAATATTGTGATAATCCCTGAAGGGCACCCCAGTGCCATCTTTCCTGAAGGACAGAGAATAAGATTCAGAAATAAACTTTGCATTTTAGCAAAAATAAGTATATTAGTTTAATTATTGCTGAAAGAAAAACCTAAAGGCAAGCTACCCAGACTGTGAGGGAAAATATTCATTAAAAAAATACTATCTCCATTCCCCGTCCTCCCCACCAAAAAAAAGGCAACTCACTTTATATGAAGAGATATTCTTCAAGAAATCAGTATCTCAATGCATAATCTGAATTCCAACCCCCACATGACACTTCTTACTAAAAAAGTAATTGTGGAGAAATGGTGGCACGAGCTAATCAGGGTTCCCTGTATCTCCTTACGTGGCCAGGTAAGGAGTTAATGTCCTGGGTGTTAGGAACCAGGTATATACCTTGGACTTACTTATGATCCCTAGGGTCCAGCAGGCTATGTCTTCTAAAAGTAAAACAATTCCTAATAAAGAATGGAAATCAGTCTGCTCTTCAGGACTGAGAGATAAATTCTCAGATTTTTTTCCATATCCCAATGAGCATTCATTATAGAAGGAAATCAATGGCAATGCAAGGCACATATGTGGAAGTTGAGATAGACTTACGAAGTAGCCTGTTCCCAAGCTGGAAGGAGCTGAACTCTGCAATAAAGCATAAAGACAAAAGTGGAAAATCAGCAATGGTTTTTAACACGTTCCAATCCACACAGCTCATTACCAGCCCTTTGCAGGCTTTTTATCACTACATCACATCACCAGTGTATGCTGCCCCTTGTCATCTGCTACTGATACAAATACCGTGTTGCTTAATTTTCCCCTTTACATCTCTCAACAACTCAGAGATGCTAACGTGCTATTTACTGAATTCCAAGCCTCTGCGGTGGATGTAATTGCCAATTTATTTGACAGGCAGCTGGGTAATGAATTAATGATGGCATTTCGCCCTGCACTGAGACTAAACAGACACGCATCAGCTTGCCTCCCTGACTTGCTGACATTAAATGCCCTGGTCTCAAGCTACTCAGTTTTGTGGCCGCAAAGGGGCAGGCAAGAGGAAAAAGCCCAGACTGACTTGAAAATAAAAAGCCCAGTGGGTTTGGATGACTTTTCCAGTGTATGACCTACTTGCCAGTTTATTCCCTAAAGGCACCAGTTAGTACACACACGGTGCTTTTCAAAAATGAGACATTTTGTAGACGTAATTAGTAGACTAAAATGCAAAGAATGTGTGGGCCAAGAGGAGCAGTGAAAAGCACCATTTTTCTGAAGGGTTTAAGTCACAAGAATTACCAGTTTAAGCTGTCATAGTTCTGACACACAGGGAACTTAAAAATGTTCATTCTGAAAGGAATGCAGGGCATCACTTGTTTGGGAAAAGAAGCCAAAAAACAAAAAACGAAAACAAAAAAACATATTTTCAACTTGCCTGAGATTCTCATTTTTGTTTGCTTTTTCTCCTAAAACCTCTCCTTATAAATTATTTCAATTTTAGCATCCTCTTCCTCTTTGTGATTAAGCTTGAAATGAAGATGAAGCAAATGCGGAATAGATTTGCAGGTCTCAGCTAAACATCCCTGCGCCAGACAGGCCTCTTCCCTGATGAGCTTGGGTTGGGTGTTTCACCTTCCCAGGAGCAAAATGACCTCTGCCCTGATTCAACAGTTACTCTGTTCACTGCTAGCTCTTCTGCCTACACGTCCTGCCCCCTACTCTGGAAACTTCAGATAGCAGTAACCATCTGGCCTATTCATCATTGCCTCTTAGAGTTTCAGACAATGACTTGCACACAGGATGCATTTAATAAGGACTTGTTGAATGAATGTATAAATAAATGAATGGATGGATTATGTATAAGAAAAATGGCTCAGGAGAATTTGACATCTATAAAACTACAGGAGATGTGATTCTTCTTGATGCTAAGCTCTTTGAGGAGGAAATATGGTACTGCAACTATATCTACATCAAACAAGAAGAGTATGCTTCAGGGCATTCCTAAATGCAGCTCCCAAAGCAAAACTTTCTTCATCTCAGTGTTTCACACAAACTCAGGGGAATGAAGCACCATAGATGTGTGATCTTGCTCACTGGACTCAGTTTTTTAAAATCCTGCTGCATTCTTAATCCCGTAAATGTATGGAGGGAGATCCACAGTAGTCATGGAGACAATTTCTCATACCAGTGACTAGCCATATGACAGCAGCACCTGTTTCCAGCACCCACAGCCCTCCATGCAGCAGCAGAAGAAAGCAAAAGTCAAGTTAGGTCTCCACTAGCTTGGAGCCATACCTCTGGGAAGTAAACTCATTTTAGGATGAATTACTCAGAGAGACCACGGGATTTGTTTATTTCATTTCTTTCCCTTCCTGCAAATGTATTTTATCCCAGAAAGAGAAGTACTCCCACCAAACCTACTTCCCTACCCCCACATACATATCATCTTATTGTATACCAAAGAAAATTACATCCTTCAGGTCTCGGAAAGCTCTGTTATGCTCATTTTGCATATATATTGTACATTACTCAGGGAGCTGGGTGGAGAAGAGGGCTTTGTTGTGCATATTTGTTCTGGCTATTGTTTATGCAGGTCTGACTGAATGAGGGAACAGTGGGTATCATTTCAATTTCTGATGTCAACATCAAATTACTTATTTAATTTCATGCCTGGCGAAGCATTGTATAGCTACACGCAGAATCATTTCACTTCATTTGTTATGCTGTGTTTTCGTGGCGATTGGCTTGCCTTCCAACTGACAGCTTTAATTACGACATGAATTTGATTGCACTGCCGAGGAATTAACATAATGCAACAAAGCATTTAAGCACCCTGCCTTATAACCCCCCTCCCCCAGACACGGGCACAAACACAGACACACGAGGGAACACACACACAAGATCCCCATACACATAAAGGTCCGCTGGAATTTGTTTCAGCATTTGCTAGAAAGCATACAGATTCTTGTATCAGGAGCCATTCACATGTGAAAACCCAGTGTACTCTTCTTTTTCTTTTTTTTTAGGGAAAAGATGCATGGCATTCAGTTTTGATTTCAGGATCTGGCAGAAAACACATGTGTAGAAAAGCCCTCTTCTGATCGACTTTGCCAAATGTCCATGGCATTGACATTTCCTCCCCTCTTACACCCTTTCCACCACATTTTTCTTGGCTACTTGCCAACTCCCTTCAGTCGTAGCTGGAGAATTTCAACAGGAGTGACATCTATTTAATAAAAAGGCTTCTGCTTGTCTAGTCCTACAACCCCAAGATTCTGACTACGGCCTTGTATTCAGTGAGAAATTACGCCTGGTCACCAACAGGACCCCACCATCAAAGCATAGATAACAGAAGTTACCAGCCACAGGGAAGTCACAGTTTGGCTGAGGCTCAAAACAACTATCATATATCCCTGAGGTCTTACTATCAAAAAGGCTCAGAAAAGAGTCTCTGTCATATATTTCTAATCTAAGTCTATATCTAAATATAGCTGCAAACATTTGGTGGCTTCAATAATTTTCCAAGACAGAAATTACACGAACACAGGCAACAACAGATCATGCTAAAAACAAAACAAAGGAATGTTTAGAAACAGCGGTAATATTGTTAGAAATGTGCTGTAAGTTATTCACTTACAGATGTATATTTAGGGATTGGTACTGCTCTCTCATTTTAGAAGACACAGTCACCAAAGAAGAGACAGTCACCAAAAGGTAAAGAACCAGGAAAGAAGACAGGTGCTAATACCCTAACTATTGAACAATTTGACAAAACTCTTCTTTAATAATCAAGATCATGACTCACTGCAACCTCAAGCTCCTGGGCTCAAGTGATCCTCCTGCCTCAGCCTCTTGAGTAGCTGGGAGTACAGGCATGCACTATCATGCCCAGTTACTTTTTTTTTCCTAGAGTTAGGGTCTCACTATGTTGCCCAGGCTGGTCTCAAACTTCTGGCCTCAAGTGAGCCTCTTGTGTCAGCTTCCCAAGTGTTGGGATTACAGGCATGAGGAACCGCGGCAAGTCTCCCTGTTAATTTCCAATAAGGGAGGGCTTCCATTTTTCTTGCTTGGAGACTTCAAGCAAAGTCTGTCCAAACTATATAGCAAAAGAGGCCACAGAATACTGAAAAGGCTGTGAGTCAAATTGTGACTTGAAAATTAAGAGGATTTTTTAAAGAAAGAAACAGAAGTTTCCTTGGTTTCAAAAGCATTTGAAATAATATTATCCATCCATGTTTAGGCAAATACTTCTGCTGAAAAGGGCTTCATTCTTATTTCTTCAAGTGGTAGAGTTGCCATTTCATTCATATTTTCAATGCAGTAGGTAGAAATGAGAACTATTAAGAGGTTGAGAAAATAGAGTAGGAGAACATTTCAGCGGTTTGCATGAGAAGACAGGGATATGAGGAAATGCTGGCCAGCTGGCTATCTAATATGCAATTTCCGGGCTCATTATAAGCCATCTCCTGTTTAACATGGTCTTTTCATTCTGCTGGATTTTTTTTTTTTTTTCATATTTGACCACTGCTCCAGCGATCTCCACAAATTACCCACCTCCATCTCATTATATTGTAAAGGAGAGCTTTCTTAGAAGCACACTCTTTATCTCAATCTTCATGCTACCATGAGCTGCAGGAACGTAATGGGATGCGCAGTTGAAAGACATTTTCCAGGAGGGAGAATGTTGCTGCTGACATTCAAGTCTGCAAGTAGATATTCATTAAACACTTGTTCTCTTCTCACTTCCCCCCGCTTGCCTTTCCTTCCATCTCTGTCACTAAGCTATCATCGAAGCTACTCATTAAACTCATGAAGTTAACATTTCTGTTTTAACAGCATACTTACAAGGGATTTCAAAATTGATTATCCATCTAAAATAGATGTGCTCCATTCATTATAAATCCACACAGAGAGGCCATGGCTACTATTACAGCTCCCTGAGTACAGACAGGACACATGTGTACTCCACCCCTAGGTGAGAATGTGTGTTCTGACCCTAGGGCTAATTTAAATTGAATATTTTAAAATTCTTCCAAATCACTAATTGTGTTCAACATCCCTGGCTACCTACCTTCATGTTATGCTTTTCTCTCTTGGGAGTAAAAAGGAGAAGGACCATGCCAGGAATTATATGAACAAGTAAGTTTCTTGCAAAGGTCACAAAACAAGCTCATTCACAGATCTTCCAGTAGTGTTTTAAAAACCTGAAATCTTAATCCAAAGAAACGTGCCTTGGAAATAAGATTACTAATAGCCAACCCAAACCAAAACAAAACAAAAAAACAAAAACAAAAAAACCACACACAAAATATATTTGAATGAGAAATAAGCATATAGTTGTTGGAAGAAATCAAGTAAAAATGGAGTAACAACTTGATAAAAGCATCAGGTGTGAAAATGCTACATCACTTCCAACGTCAATTATTCAACCTTCTGTTATGCCCACTTCAGGTTGTCACCAACTCTCATCTCAGCCTTCTGGCTTCTACCTCTGATTTCATTCTTGCTCTCATCTTCATGGACAGTTCCTCATATCAAAGGCAAAATAAACATTTTAAAGTGAGAACTACAATTCCAATCCTTATAACATATTCCAATGGTTTTTAAGATAATAACCTGTCATGGATTGGGCAATGTCTCCCTGTTTACGT